CGCCCGGGCCTCTGTCACCTACCTGCGCGCAGGCTGGTCCGTCAGCAAGGCGAGGGCAACTGGAACGACATTGCGCGCGACCTCAACAAAATGATCGGCACTCACGAGGATCTCGGGCGCGTGGGCAAGCAGTGCCGCGAGGTGGGCGCCCGCAGGGCTAGTGTGCTATAGAATGAGGTTACAGGGAATTATGTTATGAAATTGAGGGAGCGCATACATGCAGGGCTGGTGCCGCCCACCTCTGCCATATGTAGGATTTTTGTCAAGGGCGGGCCGCTTGGCTCCCGAACATGGGTGGCGAAGCGCTGCAAGAGCTGTGGTTGCGATACACCTGCGACGCGTGGATGCTGCTGTGCCCTCCACCTGATTGCCCTTGATCATTTGCGCGCATTGCCACTGCTTCTGTCATCCTGCCTGTGGCAGAAGACAGCAACATGGAATCCCCCACAACAAGCACGCACGCGGCGCGCGCACACGCACGCAGGCAAGCACCCCCCCCCACACACACACACTCACACACAGACACGTACTCACATACACACACATGCGCGTACACATACGCACACATACACACGCGCTCACACACTCCTCTGCAGCGCTGGAACCACCACCTGCGCCCCGACATCAACAAGACCCCCTGGACCCTGGCAGAGGAGCAGCTGCTGATGCAGTTGCACAGGAGGTGAGGGCCGCGCGGGCTTTGACTGGGGGGATGCAGGCGGTGCAACACATGGTTGGCCGGAGCATCCCATCCTTGTGGGCTCCATCGCACAGGCGGGGCGTTGATGGCACCGGCCGCCTCCAAGACGGCACGGCAATCGAGCTGCCTGGTGGGGCCCCCAAACTGCGAGCATTGCCCACCTTGATCTCACAACCAACCAAACACCTTCACCAAAAATGATCCCCAAACCCCTCCCCTCAACCCAAGGTACGGCAACCGCTGGTCCGAGATCTCCAAGATCATGCCCGGCCGCACCGAGAACGCCATCAAGAACTTTTGGAACGCCACCCTGCGCCGCAAGGACACCACGCGCGGCAACAACCGCAACGAGATCGGGGTGGGCCTCGCGCTGCGCGCGTACATGGTGGACGTCGGCGTCGCACTGCCCACGGCGCCACAGCCGGAGTACCTGCCCCCGCAGCGGCGCGGGCCCCAGCACCCGCGCCCCGCGCCAGCGGTGCCGCGGGGGGCGGCTGCGGCGGCGCGCGAGGGACAGCACCTTGATGACGGCGAGACGGCGGGTGACGAGGATGATTACGAGGAGGGTGACTGCGAATATGGCGGCGGCGACGATAGTTACAACCAGCAGGACGACGATGAGGCGGAGGGTGAGGCCGCTGGTCACGCCGCGCCGCCCGAGCTCAGCGCCTTTGCGGCTGGCCACGGCATCCCGGCCTTCCGCGTGCCGGCCACCAAGCGGCGCGTCTCAGTGACTGGCGGCGGCACGGCGGACAAGGGCGACAGCGACGCAGAGTGGCACCCCCCAAACCACGGCAGCCCGATGGTGATGACATCACGCGGCTCTGTCGCTGGCGGGGTGCACGCCCCGCCCCCGCTGTCGCCGCTGGCCGGCGCACCCTTCCTGCCTGCCATCCCTTCGCCCACCAAGCGGCACAGGCCAAGCACCGGGGGCACGCAAGCACGAGAGGAGGCACGCGTTGGTTCTGCTGCTGCTGCAACTGCTACTGCTGCGGGTGCTGGTGCTATCACTGCTGCTGCCGCTGCTGCTGCTGCGGCTGCTCCTGCTGGGGAGAGCGCGTTATCCCCCATCAGCGAGGGCGCCCCGCGGCCCTCCCAGGGCAGCCCCGCCCCCAGCAGCGGCACCAACACGCCGCTCGCGCTGCGCCGCGGCTCGCCGTCCCTCGTCGGCCGGGGCGTAGGCCCGAGCAGCGATGGAGGCAGCGCCGTCAGCAGCGGCGGTTCATGGCAAGCCCCGGGTAGTGTGCCCTCGGCGACCTGCGCGCCGCTGTTTGGTGGCGTCGGAGTCAATGTGTCGCAGGCCGACGTGATTATTGCATTCGTGGCGGCCCTGGCGCAGCAGCACATGCAGCAGCAGGCGCTCCACCAGGCGCAGCAGCAGGCGGCGCGGCAGCAGCGGCTGGAGGTGGCCGCCCTGCAGGCGCTGGCCGCGCAGCACCTGGCGCAGCAGCAGCTGTTCCAGGAGCAGCGGGCGCGGCAGCAGGCCGCGCGGCAGTCGATGAAGGAGGAGATAGGGAAGGGGCATTGCCCTGCACCGCCGTGCGCGTCTGATGACGGGGGCGAGGTGGAGTCTGATGCGCAGGTGGCTGAGATGATGCTCAGCCTCAGGAACAGCGGCGCGTGACGCGGAGAGCGGATGGGCCGTTTCCGCCTGTCAGCCAAGCATGTCGTACACCCATGCCCTCGAGTGCGCGCACACGCATGTGTGTGCACACCCTCTCACTCCTTTACGCGAGTAGGTACGTTGACCCCTAGGTCGGCTCAATACCCAGTTCTTGTGACCTTGCTGCCTGCAGTTGCGCCTGCTTGGCGCACGCATGCATCCCTTTTCTTGTGTCTGAATCGACAGCATGCGCCTCCCAGCTTTGAGCGGTCACGCCTGTATGCTCAGTCAGCATCCAGGGGCCTGCATTTGGGCCAAGCATGCGCCTCTCATATTCTCTTCCTCCTCTTTCCCACGCCTGGTGAGGCGGAATTCACAATTCAATTCACACGCCGGCTGCTGGTGGGGCGACTGCGTTGTTTCGCTTTGGCCTGGCGTGAGGCAGGCGGGGCCTGCGGACACTGGGGGGAGTCCTAGCTGACGCTTTTTATCTTGCATGCGCACCCTCCCCTTGACAAAGGCATGCACACGACAGGTCTAAGAGCTCCGCCTTGCCTGGGTGCAGCGCCCAACCGGACTGTCAGTGCGCCGCCGTTGCCACCGGATCGTGGGCACACGGTTCTGCTTGCTTCCTTCTCTTCACTTGTTGCTATGGAGGCGCCGGGCGTGGGCGTGGGCATGGGCATGGGCGGTCATGCACAGGTGCATGCAGACAGGGTATGTTTGGTTTCTGCGCTGTCCTCTTGTGCAGCGTTTCAAAACTCGCCCGCGTGTCTGCACATTTCTTCCCAGCAAAAGCCGCACCGGTGCCGAAATCCACTTGGTTGAATTACGGGGTCTTTGGCCGTGCCGCACAATGCTAATCTGCCGCCAAGCACGCACCCCTCCCCTCCCCGCCAAGATCTGCACTCGACTTTGACTGGATGTGTGCGTACTTCAATCAAGCACCTGATGGCTTAGTACTTTGTGCCAGGTCGCCCCAACGTGCCAGCCTTTCTAGACTGACCAGTCCTCTACAACGAAGCCGTTTGAAGACCGCAACCGTACACACGCCTCCTGCTAAGGACTCCTGCTTGCTCCCACCCTACGAGTGACTCGTTGTCCTGTGCGGAACGCTGAGTGCTGCCTGTCACGCGGTAGAGAGCGACGACTGCATCCAGCAAACCTGACCGGACAAGCCTCAGCAGCATGCCAGGACCTGGGCTGCCCCTGCATTGCTGCAGCCCATGCATGACAAAACCCAGTCGATTTGCTGCCAATTCAGGGGGAAGAGGGCCCAGTGCGCGCAGCCTGTCAGCAGCGGTGCGGCGGCTGCTGACAAGAGCCTCTCACCCCGACAGCCGAGCCACCACAGTCAATGGGAACTGGCGAGTATCCACCCGAAAGTTTCCAACCTTGCCCTGAGGCACACAATGGTCATGGCTCTGCGCATGCAGAGGGCACATGCGCGCCTTCCTGGTGTCCTGCTGCATCACATTGCACATCAGGCACACTTGCGTCTCGTGCGCTGCTGTTTGCAGCGTGGATCTAGGTGGTCAACAGCGCCTGTGCGGCGCCAAGCGTGTAAGCAAGGAATGAACGAGAAACTCTCCACACACAAACGCCAGGAGGCAGTTCGCACCCCACGCGATCGCCCAGCCGTAGCCCCGCCTGTTGTGGCGGCTGCTGGACATCTTCTGCACAGGTGGGGGTGGACGCCCTGCCCCTGGC